AATAAGCTGATCTTTGATTTCTTATATTTAAGACAGTTTTAAGATGTAAGCCAATTAGGCGATATTCATCATTAATTCTTGTATTTAGACTATCTTAAACACAAATCTTAAGTCATGAACCAATCAAAGAGCTGTATAAACATCTTAAGATATTACTTAAGATAACCGACCGTAAGAACGGGCTATGAATGCTTGAGAAAATAGGATCATTTCTCTTAATTAAAAAAAAAAAAATTAAAAAAAAGAGAGAACAAGAAAAGGATAAGTGAAACGATTGAATTCGCACGGAAGCCTAATTAAGTCTTTCATTGCGAGAAATTCTTTTCTGTTCTCAGAAGGACTTTTGCGAAAGAGGCTCGATCCATTCGCGTGTTTTCACGAACACGCACGCGTTCACCAAATGTTGCTACTTAATTGACATTCGCTTCACGTTTGGCTTCGCCAAACGCACGCGCTCCTCGCTCTGTATAGTATTCCTGACAGGTTATTCGGTCTATTACTACTCCGGAAATTATCAACGAGGCATGAAAAGGCCACGTAGACTCTCTCGATTCTGTCGAAATCGGGAACGTGCGGATATACCATGGACTACGCACTGTGCCTTGCGTAGTCCATCTGTTTATTCAGAACGACCGTTTGCACGGTTCAACATCGTAGTTACGTGGTAACTTACAAGTAAAACGTGAATGAAATCTGTACATCGCGCGCGTACGTAATTTTTGTGTTCGATCACAAGAAGGAAATCTATTCAACCGATATACCGAGTCAAAAGAGAACCCCGTTGGTTCTCGGCGTGAATGAAACTGGCTCGTTAGTGGCCTAATTAAATATCGACAAGCGGTATCTAAGCAATTAGGCAGATTCATCAACTAATAGATGTTCCGTACGGCCGAATCCAGGTAATAAAGAGATAATGAAAATAATGGCCGGCGCGGCAGGATGTAGGTATATATGAGAGAAAAAGAGGGACGATAATGAGAAGCTCGATCAATGGCTCGATCAACGATCGTTCGTTCCTCCGGAAGGAGTGCTTGGTCCTCGATGTTGATAGATCGTTACGGGAAACGCTCATAGCTTCCATTATGCAAATTAATAGCAGATAACGTTAATTAATGCACCCTGTCGTTCCGCTTGTCCCATCAGACAGCTCTGTTTGCAGCTGGTGGCCTCGCGCGTACCGTCTCATCTCGCGGCGTACCAGAAGGCGTGCGCGTTTCGCATTCGAAGATACGTATCCGGCCCAATCTTCTGTACCCGACTTGTGAGAATAAACAAACTATTAAAATTCGCCAGAAATACGTATGCTCGTACGGTGCGGCTAGTCTGTTGGACGTGTCTGTTCTGACTTCGACTTGAGAACGGGATGGAGTCCTCGCGGCGCGAAAGTCGCAAAGCTGTCTTATATATACAAATACATATTATGTTAAATATATTATGTTATTATATATACAGGGTGTCACAAAACTGGCAATAAATATTTTTAAGATTCTTTGTAATATTTTAAGACAAAAAGTTTTAATACAAAAATGCTGTGATAGTTTCACACCCACACACACACACGAATGGAAAGAATTTGAAAATTACGAATGATAGGACTAGAATTTCCTTCAGGGATGATAAGACGATGAGTGGGAAGGAATTAAATTTTGTTATTATCAAAGACATAAAGTTCGAGGAAACTGTGATAGCCTTGGCATTTTTGTTTTAAAATGTTACAAAGAGATCTTTAGAATACTTATCGTGAATTTTGAGTTGAAACACCCCATATATTATATATATATATATAATATAATATATGTAAATTATATATACAATATATATATATATACAATATATCTTCCTATATTATAGACTTTCTAGATGAGGCTAAATATTAGTTATGTCGCACGCATGGGTGAGTACGCGAAATGCACGACGTCGCGAATCGCCGGAAGAGAACTCTTCTTCCTCCATCATTATGATCAGAGAAATGGTCACAATTAACGCGATTATATCTTGTTTTATCGCCCGGAAAATCTTAATGTAAGACAATCGTTAATGCGACCTCATTGGGCTACGGTCGGATGGCGATAATATCGCCCTTTCGTTACAACCTGTGTAACTTTCCTTTTGACATAACGCGATTGCGACTCGTTGGCATCAGAGAGATGTGATACACGAGCGCAATTATGAAGTCACTTCACGATTACCTATGTACCCTGAAGAATTGCGGCAATCGGCCGCTGGTCAGGAAAGCCTGAAAGGCTTGATCTAGCCCGAGTTTGCGTGCAATCGACGATCCAATACAACAAACTGTTTATGTATATAATATCTGCACGAATAACGCGAAACGTTCGTACGTAATGATGAAGTTGAACGATCGAGTTGTGTAACGTGCCAGCAGAATCGCCCGCAGGAAAACTGTTAATGGATTTCGAATGAGGCAAAGTACCTAAGTTACTTCCTGGTGGGAGAGTATTTTTTTTTATTTTTATTTTAACACAGAATACGACACGAATTTTTCTTCTTTGCCGTGTAAGAAAGGACGCGTGGATTTTAGTATTGATAAATTATACTCGAGTCTAGTACTAATAAATTATACGCGATGACGATGTGTCAATGCCCGCGTAATAATATTTTATGTACATTTTTTATATACATGAAGAGCGGAGACTTTGCGAGCAGCGAGGAGGAGGTGAAATCTTTGACGCGATCTCGAGGAACATCGACCTCTTTGTCGGCAAAAATCACTTCGCTAAGTCTCGAAATAAATCTCAATTAATATAAGTCGGCTGCTACTTCATCCGTAATGAATGCAACCTTAAATTATCCTCACTACCGTGCAAATGGCTTGCAATGATTACTGCTGTGTATAAATGCGGAAAGAAAGCGGACGTACCGTGACGCCGGCTTTGTAAATTTTCCTTGCAATAATGCATCGCAAAAATGTACGGAAAGTAATTTTCGATTTGTCATTTAATAAATGCCAATTTAATCGAAGGCTTTTTGTATATCTGGCGCATTTTTCTTTCTCTTTAGTTCCTCGGAGTTCTCGGAGAGAATTGATGTATCGGGAATTCAAGCTGCCGTATTTGATGAGGAATTACCGTTCAATATTTATGTTCGCTTATCATCAGCTCTATGTATTTTAACAAGCTTTAAACAAATTGGACAACACACTTGAGACTCATCCCAATACGGTCTGCCGCGTATTCTCGAGACACAGTGAAAGTAACCGAATCGATTATCTTCTTGAAGACAAAAAAAGTCGAAAAGACAGCTGCCACTGACATCGTATCGGAAGAAAGTCAAAGTAATCCCGCCGTGCGGGACCCGGTAACTCTCACAGTTTCTCGCTTCGTCGCGTCTCTCCTGCATGACGGAAAAAAAAAAAAAAAAAAAAAAAATTGAGGATATTCTTTGCGTGCGGGTGTTCCAAATTAAAATTAGCCTCACGAGACAATTGTGTGTGCAAGAAGAAATGAATATTTCTATCAGTTTGGCTATTTTCTAATTTAATTTAATTTATTTGACTAATCGACTTTCTCACAATTAGAAGAATTTCCTTATAGGCTTTTGATTTGTTCTTTTATTGTTCTTTTATCACCTGTTTACACAATCGTTTATACAACGTCATATCGTCGATTACAGAACACCCTGTACCGGATAATCGCGGTTTTGCTTCCTGATCGTCTCACGTCGACGCAACTGGCGCATCTCTCGAGGAACATGCCGTCGGTGAAAGGTAGTCACGTTGCATGTTTTTCGCAGGAGCGACAGTAACCCTGAGGAAGAAAGTCAGAGTGAGACTCCGCAGGTGGTGAACGCGAACCTGGTACAGGCGAAATTGTTCTCACGTGAATTACGAAACCGCGGTTTTCCGTGTTGCTGCGTCGTGAGACGCGCACCGATATCAGATGAGAAAGGCATTTCTCCGTCTCCTCCTCGTCACGAGATCTGGGAACGGAGATGATCGGAGTTTTTTTTTTGTATGCGATTTGCACCGCGAGACATCGGCGTTAATTCATTCGCACATGACTGAAGCAAGTATCATTGATTACGTTGCTCAGCAAGTTGTAGACTGTTCTCGAGATTACGATTACACTTTATGGGATAATAGGTATTTATTTATTATCCCAAGAAGTTGAAGATAAAAAGTTTCTTGAGAAAATTGTTTTAACACGCGTAGAAATAATATTGCTTTCTTCGAGACAAACAATGTAATGAGAAAGTCCATTCTCCCTCGCGGTTGCGATCGTTTAAAAGACCCCGATAATAATTAACGAGAAAGTCATTACCGGTTGTACGTCGCATGTCATCGGACACTGACCGGTTATATATGAGCGCTTACGTTCGCCGGTGATGTTCGCTCCTATTATACTTGTTCAGACAAATTTAATCAATAATTACAGAAGGGAAATTTCGTTGGATTAATCAGCCTTACTAATAAATCTTATTAAAAATCTCGGAAACGTTTCTTCCAAGGAAGCGTTTCCGAGATTTTTAATAAGATTCAATGAATTTTAACAAAAGGTACCCTTTCTGTGGATCTTTTGGGATATAAAAATCTCTTTACTTTTTTTATATACAATCAATTAAAAATTATATGATCAACATAAAGTATGTACATGTTAGAACTATAAAGTTTTTACATAAGTTTTTTTTACAAAGAAGTTCCTTGAAAAAAGTTTCTAACACGTACATACTTTATGTTGATCATATAATTTTTAATTGATTGTCTATAAAAGAAGTAAATAGCTTTTCATATCCCAAAAAATCCGTAAAAAGGGTACCTCTTGTTAAAATTCATTGAATTGCATTACGTTTCGTTCTACTGCTTTGTCGTCCCGCATTCGCTATGAAGCATGAATCCCCTCTCAGGGAAGATGTACATACAGAGTTGGGACCCCCATATAGCACCGTGGCTCTCTTTGTATCCCTCCTCAAAATCTGTATGTCTAGAATATCTAGACATCTAGGCAGAGGAACATTCGCTATAAAAGCCACGTATGTCACGATAAACCCGTCAGAAGAGTGACGAACCGTAAAAAAAGACGGTGGTCGTTGCCATCCTTTTCACACGGTGGGCCACCCTGGTCGAAAGAATGCGATTAATTCTGGTCAGTGTTCATCGCCGCTCATTGTCTCGTGCTTTCATTCTTCGCATCTTAATCATGTGTCAGTGCGTCTGTGATATATGTGAGATATATTTTTCGGACGAAAAGTGACGGCATTATCGGTAATATCGTTCGCGATTATCACAGATCATTCTAGATTTGCGGTTAATGACACCGTGTCGCGCGACGCGGTTATCTCTTTTATCTCTTTAGTATCAGCTTCAGTGGAATAGTGCTTTTTTAGGATACGTATCGCAAATTATAATCTAAGATCTTTGATTAATAGCGAATGGTCACACTTAATGGACATTAATGACACTGATTACAGTCATCGTACACAAATTGATGCAGAGATATGCGTTTATTATAAACATAGAAACCGGTTAAACCGTGAAATACAAATATTCAATATATTTTATTGTGCTGTTTAGACAAAGTATGTATTTTATAATTCAAAATTATATACTCACTTGGTTTAATTAATGGTTATATATCAGTACGCACTAGTGCGTTTAACTAAATGCGATATAAGTCAAAAGATTTTATTAGATTCCCACATTTTTTGGTGCTTATATCTGTATTATAATATTCTTCTAAAACAAGTTACTGAAATACATTTATTTTTCTTAACATTTACTTATGTATAAACAATGTACAATATTTCAAATAGCTTTTTATTTGAATACTTTAACATTGGGATAATTAAGAGGAATATATATACAATATATTAGAATTATTAAAAAGCAAGCGATGTTGTATTACAAGTAAAGTTATATTGTGAAGTAATATTTTAATACTGTAAATGTAGGTGACTTGTACTTTTGTTAAATTTAATCGTAGTATCTATCCATGAGTCTCTAAAAAAGTTTCTAAAAAAAATTTAAATTTTAAATTTTTTACGTGCTGTTTTAAGTTACTATCACTATCCCACGTCACATTTGCGGTATCGGGTTACCAGTGTAGAAAACTGCAAAATTTCTTGCATTTCGTGAAAGCGATTTTGCTGATAATGCCACGTGGTAATTTATTTTTATTCTAATGCCAAAAAAGTACAGAAAGCATATTGGATACGACGATCTTAAAGCCATCGAGACAGTAGCGCGGCTAAGTTAACGTAAATGGTTACAAACGAGCCAGTAAATCACTGCCATTTTCCAATGGCAATTGCTATAAGTGGGCATTCTTGTCACTTTTCATTCCGCGCGGAATGGAAAGTTGTGTAAATAGGAGTCGCACACTGGAACTATAGGATCTATATACGATCTGCATCGAATATTGCGAAATTCAACAGGATCACCTGCAACGTTACAAAGTCGAGTAGTCAAGTTAATGTCAGAGATATTCTATCTGGAATGCCCTATTCTCATCTTTTTAATTTATTTCTTTCGTTAGTTCGAAGTTCCTTCATATATCGTTGCTTTATTACAATATGCCTTATGTGACAAGATTCGGAAATATTTTATCTTGGATATTCATGCAAAATTTTTTTCTTTTAATATAATATAACGATAATAATAATGTTTTTTAAAAAATGACATTTTTATTTTCATCATTGAAATCATATCTTATTTAAAAAGTGAAGTTAAAATTTGTAATATCTTTATTTTTGTTATTTAAAGATACATACAAAAGTATTTAATTAGAGCAACGATATACAGATAATGTTTACCTGATTTCTCTCGTAGACAAGCGGAAACATAGCTATAATTTGTACTGACTACATAAAGACGATAAAGATAAAATGTGTTAATCAGCATGTAATTTCACATGCCAATGTCAACACAGAATAAGATAATATATAGGTATATAAAGTGATCATGTAAAGTCGGATTGAATTGAAAGTAAGCCAAGGTTATTATTAATATGTAGATAATCGAAAACAATTATTATTGTTATGTTAATCTGAGAAAAGGTAAATCTATGGTGTTTGATCAGTATACAATAACACAATAACATAATTACTAAAATTTCTACTGAAACGCGTTACGTCAATATCCGGCACAAATGAAATAAAAAGCAGGAGCTCGCAGTTTTTTCGACATTTCATGCCGCGATAGATTTTTTTAATAAATATTTGGATACTGATTGAGATTCTTTCTAATAAAAAGTTGTTTAAATACTCAAATGTTTAGATCCAAAGATATTTGAGCATCTCAATATATCTGAATTATCACTTAATATCTAATTATTTTATCCAACAGCTATTATTTAAGATATTATTTCATATCGAATTAAATATCCATCAAGTATATTCAATTACTCCAGTAATCACGACTTTATGTAAGATATCCTATGACTTACTATTTATTAGTCATCGACTTACTACGAGTCATCTTTCACTTGCGAATTTTTTGACTTACAGAGAACCGGATGTCGAGAAGTTATCATTAGTCGCAAACTTTCTGATATTTAAGTAATATCTTCGTAATTAATTCGTGAGTTAAGATATTTTGTTGATTTCCAATTCGCATATTTTGCTTAATAATTTAATTTGAAAAAGAATTTTTTTATTTTATAATAATTGCATTCCCGAGTCTATTATAATAATTAAGTATAATGTTATAATAATTAAGTTCCTCGTATTCAAACGTTTACAGTTTAAGAAGTATTGGTATCTTTATTGAGGAAAGATTTATCAATTCCAAATGAGGGCTGAAAAATTTGTAGATAAAAGGTGGTACGCATAGTACAGTTAGACTATTTCGGATATCTAAGTATGCATAAATAGTCAAACAGTTCCGGAATAATTCTTGTAAAAGAAAGAGAGAGAGAGAAGAGGGAGAAAGAGACAAGTGGGACACCTAAAATACTCGATATCGATTGCCGCAGGATACCGCGACAGGTATCGCCCAAGGGTAATATTTCGAGAAAAAAGAAAGAAGAATCTCGAAGCCTACTTTCCTTTAATTTAACCGTTGGTACAGGTTTTTACAGTCCTGATGGCCCGTTCTGGAAATGCAAAGACAGGTGAGGAGGATAGGTAGTCGACCCAATTCACGCTGGTGTTTACGTCGGCCACGCGTTTACGACGGACACTTTCATTTTTGAGAGACGCGCTCGTGAGCATGGACGAGCGCGTAGAAATCCGTCCACAGGATTTCCGTCACTCACTAAAAAAGAAAGACTACAAAAACTGGCGGGAAATTGATGGCGGACGATTGCGAGGATGAGATAATTATACCATCGTGACGAGCTTAAGAGAAATAAGACTAATTACCCGACGGCGAGATACCCTTTCTTTCGCACGGTCGATTACAATTAGCGTATCTTTGCTCTTTTACGAATAGACGTTTATCTCTGCATTAATTTTGCGAAAAAAAAAATTACAATATATTCTTTATACAAAGTATTAATTTTTTTGTGAAAGTCTTTATATTCTCTCCGATTTTTCATCTTTATACAAAGATTGTCATTATTAGCGTTTCTATTGTCGTTATTAGTGTTATTAAACATTAATTGAATTACTTTTACAGTATACATGCAAGTATATAGTGTATATTAGTAATTCAAGATTGAATTATTTGAAAAAGCAATGAAGATCCAGCTTCCGTAATAGGCATTTTTTCTAGTATTGATTGTGTGTCTCACATATGCGGTCTAAAATGAAAATTCTTAATATTGTTTACTTTTACAGATATTTATTTACAAAACTAATGAAAAAAAATTCTTTCAGACAATATTATACTGCCTCTTTGTTATCTCCGCACTTGGAGACCCGATTAGAACAAAGAGAGAGTGAGTATATAAATTGTTGAGTAAATAAATATATGTATAAAATATAAAAAATTTACATTTACAGCTTTATGTATTAATTATTTAAAAATATTTCTATTTATACACAAAGTCCTGTAATATTAAATGCAGTTAGAAGGGTTTAAATTTTTATTATATGACACCATTCTAACGGAAGAAATCTTTCCGTAGACCTCCCGTGAGCTCACAATATGGTGCACCACCAGCATCGTCCTACGGAGTACCGAACGTAGGACCATCTGATTCTTACGGTCCACCACCTTCAAATTCCTACGGTCCACCCTCTGATTCTTATGGTGCGCCTCCGCCACCATCGTCATCTTATGGCGTACCATCTGGACCCTCGTCATCCTATGGTGCACCACCATCGTCATCCTACGGAGCACCAGCAGGCGATCATGGATCCTTCGGTAACGATCACGGTGGATCATACGATCTAGGCGGTGGTGATCATGGTGGAGGATCCTTCGGTGGCGATCATGGTGGGGGATCCTTCGGGGGTGGTCATGGTGGAGGATCCTCCGGCGGTGGTCACAGTGGAGGATCCTTCGGCGGTGGTCACGGTGGAGGATCCTTCGGCGGTGGTCTCGGATCTTTCGGTGATGATCACGGTTCCATCGGAGGATCATTCGATGATCATCATGGAGGCGGCGGCGGTTATGGCGGTGGTGGTGGTCACGGCGGTGGTGACGGTGGTTACGGCGGTGGTGGCAGTCATGGCGGTGGTGACGGCGGTTATGGCGATGGTGGCGGTCACGGCGGAGGTGGCGGTCATGGCGGTGGTGGCGGTCACGGTGGTGGTGATAGCGGTTACGGCGGAGGTGGTGGTCATGGAGGTGGCTTTGGATCGATTTCTGATTCTTACGGGCCGCCGTCATTACCTTCCGATTCCTATGGACCTCCCTCGCATGATCATGGGCCGAAGGGCGTGTGGAAAAAGAAGTTGGTGTGGAAGCCCGAATGGAAGCAGATTTGGAAAAAGGTACAGGTACCGGTTTGGAAGGAGATTCAAGTACCTGCGTGGAAGGAGATCAAAGTACCAGTCTGGAAAAAAGTTCAGAAGCCTATTTGGAAGGAGATTCAAGTACCGGTTTGGAAGGAAGTCCAAGTGCCAGCTTGGAAGAAGGTATGGAAGCCCATTTGGAAGGAAATCCAAGTTCCTGTGTGGAAAGAAGTCCAAGTGCCCGATTGGAAGAAAGTCTGGGTGCCAGAATGGGTTAAAATTGGTATACCGGGAGAACACCCTGTGGGCAAAGATCATCATGGTTGGCAGTACACCAGCCACGATCTCTGGAAGAAGAAACTAATATGGAAGCCGGTTTGGAAGAAGATCTGGAGAACAGAAAAAAAACAAATCTGGGTAAGCGACAAGAAATTAGAATGGAAGGCCGAATGGAAACAAATTTGGAAGACGGAAAAGAAGCAAATCTGGGTATCAGACAAGAAGCTAATTTGGCAGGAAGAATCGGTGCAAGTATGGGTGCCTCAAAAGAAGCAGATTTGGGTCACGCAGAAGAAACAGGTGTGGAAAGATGAATGGAAAAGCAAGTGGGTTCCGGTTTGGAAGGATGTGCAGGTACCGGCTTGGAAGAAGATCTGGAAGCCCGTCTGGGAGAAAGTTTGGGTTCCCATCGAGTCTCACGACGACGGTCATCACGGTTACAAGTAAATCGTCGTCGAGGGTCACGTTCGGCCGGTTCAGTCTTTTTTCTGCTCGTGACATCTGAAGATCGAAAGGTCAACTCGGAAAATTGTTAGAGAATCGTATCATGAAAGTCGGTCGAATTTTATAATGCTTTGTGATAATGGATTGCTCGTCGATAGATATAGATATCTCTCGAGAAGAGAAAAGGGAAGGCCGAGTAAACGTGTACCGCACGAAGAAGAGGAAAGCCTGCAACTAACAGTTAGAAAGCATCGCGACTATGAGATATGTACGAAAGTGGATGATGAAAATTTTCAATTGATCATTTTGGCGACAACGCGACTGAGTTGCGTGGTAACCAAAGTCGCTCAGCTCGCAAGAGGAACCGAAATATCGATCAACGAGATATTATCATAACGGATGTGAAAATATCATTATCTACATTTTACTATATATCTCCTGAGAAAAATGCATACTAATAACTGATCTTTAGCAAATAAATTTATAACTATAACGCATCTTTCTAGAGATTACGCGACTTGTTAAATTAAACTTTAAAGCAAACCATCGCCAAGAAAAATATCACGTTTGTCAATTATTTGTTGAAAAATAATATTATTTACCTATTTATTAGAAAAAAAAACATCCAACATTTCTTAAAATGTTACATTACATCTGTTTAATATATTATGTTACATTATTACATTATTACATCTGTTTAATATATCTATGTATTTATATCAATTAAACAATAAAATGTAAATGATGGCTCAATAGAATTAAGAATTCGATTCGTCTAAGTATTAAAAGGCTATCTGGAATCAATGCTGGATATTTATATCAACTGTTTAGTAACTTTCTACTGTTTATACATATAACAAACTGCTTTGACTTAGTAATTTTAGATTGAATCTCTGACAATGAAAATTACACATACAGACAAGAAAAGTCTTTCTTTGTTTATCTTTTTTTAGTGTGAATAATCCATAGCCTTAAAATGGCTACGTGCGTATTATTATTTTATGTAATTAATATCTTATTTTGTAAATCTTACTTTGTAAATTTTACTTTGTAAATATCGTTTGATTATTGGGATGCGTGCATGTTAATATTTTTTTATATGTTAATAAATATGATTTTATACTATATCAATTAATTTCATTTTTTTTTCATACTTAGATAATTGTTTTTGAGAAAAAAGAATCCATGTTACATTTAAATGCGCATATTTTGTGCGTTTAGGAATGTAAACACATTAATTTTTATTTAACATTATTTAAAACAAAATTCAAGTTTTCTTTTAATGTAAAAAATGCTTTAACAAAAATTTTGTAAAGTTTTATTTTAACCCTTTGTAATCACACCTCTTTAAAATTTTATGTTGGTTATTCTGGTTATTCAAAGGGCAAAATGACCCCAATATTTTAATTGATTGCCATATTTACAGCTTTTATTCTTTAAAATCACAAAAATTACTCAACATAACTTTAAACATTGCAGAATATAGAAATGTAGTGGCTTTTTAAAGTTTTTAATTTTGACGTATTTAAAAAAATAAGTGATAACATTTTAAAAAATCGTAAAAACTGACGTCCAAGGAACAATATCCGGTCTCTGGGCGAAAAAGGAGATTTTGAACTTCGGATAAATGGTAGTTTAAGTCTCATTTTAAAAAAAGATCTTAGAAATAATAAAATCTCATACCTTTTTAAGGTTCCCTAATGACTACAAAGGTCACTAGGAGTCACTAGGAGTCTTAATATAATACTTAATCAAAAGTATGTATAATCCATCAAATAAAAAAATAAAAATTTTAACTTCAAGTAAGATTTGTTTACGTTATAAGTAGAAAAATTATTTCTTTTTAAACAAAAATAAATGTAAACAATTAATATCATTTAGTGGTTTCTATTAAAGCATAAAATGTTTGAAAAAAAAGATTTGCGTAAAAACTGAGACATAAGATTTTGAATCATGATTATAATTTTTTAAATATTAATCACAATAATCATGCGTTTGAAAGTGCCTGTGTCTTCCGCAACATTTATTAAGATATTGTCTGTGAATACGATCCAGGCTCGTCCGTGAAGTCATTAATTCACATTAGCTTATAAGAAAGTACGGTGGCTTTCATACGAAGATGCGCTATGTAATACATAGAAGGGAATCAGAAGGATGACGAGGCGGCAGAGCGAGGGGAGACATGATGCTTTCTAAGGATAAGAGGAGAATCAAGTGAGCAAGCATGTCTCTCAGGGTCTTCAGGGTCGCGAGACGAGCTCATGACCTTTACTTTCTCCACAATCGTGCTTACAACAACGTGTTGTGGGGGCGAGCTACGTGAGGCTGCAAAAAAAAAAGGAGGCTGCAATCTTAGTAGTAGGGAAGGTACCGACCGGAAATAATACACGGCTGGTAAATCTTCCAAGGCAGTTTAATGAGGACGTATAGAAACCCGAAAGGGATATTGAGAGACACCAAAAGTACTTTCGATTCAGACCCGAGAGCAATCGATCAATCGGCCACACTTTCATCTTTTGGCGGCTATGATTTTGCAGATCGCCCGAAATTATTACAAGCGAAACGGAACTCTTAAATTTCTAATACTCAAGAGCTATTTATATAATATAATTATACGAAATGGCTATTTTAAATCAGCATTGAGAGAATAAAAAAACCTCTTGAAAATTAAGACTCATAACTTAAGATTCATAACTCATCAAAAACAAAAAAAAAGCAGATAATAAAAAAAGTCATCGATATCGACATACCATTTTGTTTTTAGATAATATTTCTTAAACAAAAGGTAAAAATAAAACTTTAAAAACATAAGCAAACTAAAAAGTGTCTTTTATCAGATAATATAAGCAGTTTTTATAATACTGTTTGCAATTTTGCAATAATTAATTTTTTTGTAAGATAAGGAAAATTGAGCATCTGACAAAATGGATTTCAAAACTGACACAGTAGGTAGTAGTAATGTTACATATTCCTATTCTTTTTCTTTTACAGAAATTATCTGTATAAAGTATCTAGTAAATGTGTTATATAAGATTTTTCAGAATTTTTTCACTTTGTTATAAAACATTTTTATTGAATTATATGCATATTTATTTTATGTTGTTCTGTAAGATGCAAATATATAATGCAATTTTCAAGATTTTTTCCACATATGCAAGATTGCTCAGAAATAATAATGAAATCGACATCGAATCGATTTGACATCGAAAGCATCAAATTGACGTCAATTCGATGTCGATTCTATTATCATTTCTGACCGGGTTGCTTCAGCTCCAATAAAACTATTTGACATTATAAAGCAACATTAAAAGGATTAAGTTAGTTTATGGTCTGTTTTACAAATAGGTAGCGATTTACGTTGCACTCCAATTTTAAATTTAAAATTGTATTATAAAAAAACTAAGAGAAAAAGTAATATAAATAAAACTAATTTAGGAAACTACAAGCATTTAAAACGACGTAATATTATCAATAATATAGCCACTTTATTATTTAAACTACGCAATTTGCAAAAGGAAATCGTAAGAATTTTATTTTCGTATTCATAGAATTCGTTTTTAGCTGATTTAATTTAGAATCAAATCACAAATGTACGAATTATAAGTTCGTACTTCTTTAATTAGCTAAACAGATCATGATTTTATTAATAAAGTACAATAGTTTCTAAAAAATAAGGGGGTGTCGCTTTAGGAGATCTATGTCAATATCGGTGATTTTCCTGTAATATAATATCCTTTTAATTTAGCATGACTTATATTTTAATAACATTTTAATTTATAATATTAATTGCAAAGATAAATAATATTAAAAATCGAATTTACGATAAATAATGAGTTCCTTCGATATACCTGTCAATGAAAGCTTATAAATTGTTCAAAGTATTTACAGTTAAAAGAAAACGCGCTTAATGTGAAACATTCTGCGCTTTTTGCCAAAATTTTGCCACTCATTCCGTGACAGTGCAATGCAGCGAAAGTGCAGCCATTCAATAAAAAGTAAAAGTAAGACATTATTGCGCCGAGACAATGTCGAAATCGGTCGGTCGCAAAGATGCGTATGAACTTCGCGGATAATATTGCCTTCCTCATTATCACGACCTTAATTACAAATGGCATTTCTCTCTTTTTTACTCCCGTCAAGGGAGAGGGCATTAAAATCGCTTTCGAGCCTAGCTTTCGCCTGCAGCGGGCCGGCAAAAGCCTCGAGCGAGTTCTCACAGAGGCCCGGTTGCATTAGCATATAATAATGCGAGTTAAACTTGAGGAAAAGCTCCGGTTAACGGATTCATAAGACATCGTTTGTAAGATCCGAAGAGTGAAAGTACTTGAGAGCAGGTATATATCGCGCGCGATTATCAAGCAAGTTTACAGTGCGTATTAGACGTCAAGGCGAATAAAGACTTCGATTTTTTCACATTTCCTCGAAGAATACATTCATCCATTTTTTGTAATTTATTATATTTGAATCAAAGCCGAATGGCTAAAAATATGGTCCGATTGGTTGGATGATGAGCCATGTAAAATCTGTCCATTAAAATCTCCGATTATCACCGAAAAATCTCCAGCATGTTTGCTCTCTTCGGTTACGCCAATCACGCTATATACTAACAAACCATAAATCAACAGTAACGACAGAAACGAAGTTGAATTGTAAATTAATCGATGAATGCAGATGCGACGATCCTTTGCAATTAAAATTTCTCGTAGTTCATAAAACAGTGACAATCTATCAGAACTCATCATGTAGTTTCCAACTCGCGTCTCGCGCGGGAAGATTTACGTTGCTTTAATGAGTCCATAAATTTGATTATATCAAGACACCGTGTATTAATTAACTGTGAATAGTAAATCGAATAAATTTAACTAAAATTTAGAATAAAATTAAAACTTATATCAAGAATAAAATCACACAAAATTTAATTTAGTCAAGTATATTCCAAAACACATAACATCTACCTTAATTGATACGATCCAATAAAAGCATTGGCCGATCCACGCTTTAAGATTTATCTCGCGAACAGGTCTTAATTTCTTGACCTTGACTTTATTTTAATTCTATCTAATAATGCACCGTAACCGGAACGAGCCTTGTCCGTGAAATATGACATAAATCAAACACTTTCGCGTAATGGGTAATCGCGAATCGTTTCCGACAAGACCATGTCTGATCCCACTTGGAAAGTGAAATTCGTTCAGATCTGTGATCAGCGAAGCGTTATCTGGGTGAAATTATACGCCCAATGATCAATGTCGTAAGCCATTATTATCTGTGTGCGTCTCTTTCATTCGTAACATTATTTCTGTTACTTTAATGCGCGAAACAAGTATTTATGATTTTTATACGAAGAACTTTAAGAGTTTTAAATTAACTGCGGATGAAAGTATATTATATAAGTATATTATACAATAAAAATTTCTTTGAAGATATTTAAATTATCAGAAAATGATATTATTGTATTATGCTTATATAATGATGATTCATAAAATAAAATAAAATATTTTTCTTTTAAAGAATAATCCTTATTTTGATATATTTTGTTTGTAAAATTGTTCTTTCGTTATTAAAATCATTTTTTTGCTGTTATTTTATTGAAACA